GAATGGTGCATGTTAATTGATTGCTTTGTGTTTTACCAGTTCTATTCTTTTTTGTTTTGCTGTGTGTTGACCAGGTTACAGAACTAAAACAATAACCTCACACTTCTGCAATGGTGCAGTACGATAGGATACAACACAAGCTGAGTTACACATATCAGCTGTCGACAGTATAGTAAAACAAAATTGGTTGTATGGAAAACTGGCATGTGAGGCTCCAGGAAATGTTTCCTGTCCTTCTAATATATATTCTCATGAGACGCTTAAAACTGTGCAGTGTTAGTGCATGTTACATGTAAAATTCAGTATGATAAATGTATATCTTCAAATTATCAAATTAAGTGTAACTCAATTCATATTTCAACTAAGTTTTGCTACTTCTTTAGTAAGTAGAAAGAAGAACATCTATACCACTAAGAGAAGAATCACTGTTGTTAATTACCTAATACATTTTATGTTTAAGCAACACATTATTATAAAAGAAAGGTGAGTCAGTGTCTTCTGCCCTCACATCCTTTTTAGTCATTCTAGATTTGGAGCTCATGTTTGGAAGTTACCAAGTACCTCATGACAAGCACCAGATTGCTTTGTTGAGAGTCGAGCTTTAAGAATCAGAGTGGTAATGCCTTGCGTAAGAGGAACTGTACATCCTTGGATTGTGTAGTCACAGTACTGATGGTGGGTTCTGGGTGTCAGTATGTTATGGTCTAGCTCTGATGTGCCCCTTTAATGACTTGTTTCCCTCCCTTGTTTATAGAAGATTAGTTTCCTAAATGTATTTGTGCATGCTTTCTTATGAATGGATTCTCTATCATGCTGATGATGAGGGATCTGATTCTCTGAATCAGCTTAACCCACCACATTATCCCCCTGTGACTTTGAGCCCAGCTCTTCTTCACTTTGAATTTTGCAGCTCTTTGAAGGTTTTTCAGAAGCCAGGCACAGCTTAATCAAGGATGGCGGTTGGTTGACATTGAACACTGCTGCTGAAACAGCTGTTGCTGAGCTTGTCAAGATGGATAGATACAGTGATTTAACCTTGCAGTGTCAAGTAATCTCTCTTAGGTATTTTAATTCATGGCATAGGTTCAGAGTAAAGATGACTTTGCATTGAGCAGCCTGACTTTTTTTGGGTCATGGGGCAGTGAAAATTGTCAAGGAGTCTTGGTTTTCATTGTGAGATTTCCTGATTTTCTTCTGGAAATTGTTGCTCTTTCCTCTGAATCCTGCACCAGGGTCTTGGTGGTAGGAGCATGGTGCCTTTGGAAGTAATGCCTTCAGGAAAAAGAAAAGCATTTAGCAGTGTCTAGACTAGCCTACTTTTTCAGTACTTACCTCTTAACTTTTCCAATTTTTAACAGTAAGAATATTTTCTCACTTGTTTAAATTCTCATACAGTACATGCATTATAGGAAAGAAGCTGTGGTTATCAACTCTGAATACAGTTTTATCAGGTTTACTGAAAGTACATCTTGATTGTTGTGCAAAAATATTTTCACATTTTGACTGGCTGTTCTTCTGCAGCTCAGCATTCCTGGATATATGGAGAAGGTGTAAAAGGAAGGAGAAAATACGAAAATGAGAAAACTATTTGGTTTCTTTATAATATTATAACGATGAGCTACCCTTTAAGACACTGTTTAGATTTCTTCTCAGTAAGTTCTGATAAAAAGCTAGAAAATGAGCAACTATTAGATGTGGGGAAAAATGCTTTAATGATTTCCAGAACTCGTGCAAGTCTAAGAAGACAGAACGGTGCACTGATCCTGGTTTGTTGTTCATCTTCAGAATAAGAATGTACTTTCCTGTTTCTTTAATGGTTTTGTATTTGTTTATGCTTAAACATGGAAGACTCTTTAGGAATGGCCTCACTTGCTTTCAGAACAGTACTTAGGTACGCTGTCCTTAGTAAGGTTTTCAGATACTACTATAGCACACCTACAAAGCTACATGTTTTTACAAAGAGTAACTGAACTGTGTGAACATCTTTTTTTCTTCTTTCTTGTAGTAGCAGAAACAATTACGCCTGTGGCAAAGCCCCACATTTCAGTGACCTTTTCAATTCTGTTAAGTGTTGCTTATGTTTCATACATCATGTTTTACATGTTAAATTTGGATGCGTATAATCAACTTGGTGTATGAATTCAGGAACTGCTCATGAACTACATTTACAGCTGTTTTATCTGTGTTCGCATTTGTCTTAGAAGTGGATATGTTGTCTTGCTTCCTGATAGTGACTGACTGTGGCACTTCATTGTCTTTGTTGTTTTGTTCATATGTTTAAAAGTGCGGGATTTGCAATGTGCCCTGTGATTCCCCACTAGTGACTATGAACAAGTGACACTTTGGGCTCTGGGCTATTTCATCCCAAGACACAGTGCAGTGGCATTGAATGTTAGCCCAAAATTATGAAGCAGTGCTTTACTGCAAAATTTCTAAACTACAAAATGGTGCTATGAATTATGCCTTAAGAAGATAATTTCATAAAGATTGCTTTCACTGTAGCATTTGAAATCTTAGTAAATAGGCAGTCAATTCAAGACATCTAAAAACTTCTGTTTGTTGTGAAACAATGGAATATTACTTACATTACTGAATTTCTTGCAAATATTTTGTGATATACATACTGTGGCTTCATGCTGTGCTTTACAGTAGCTGTCTTCTGTACATCTGGGCGTGTTTTGGTTGGTTAGACAAGCCAGTCAGAAGTAGCGTTAACTCTGCCCATTAAAATGGATGGCTGTCACTATAGCACAAGAGCTGCAAACAAAATATTATTTGGATAGACAGCTGAGACTCTCTGGTCCAATACTTTTTTGAACCCTGCTATAGGGTGTATGTATATTGGGATGCAGGAGGAAGAGAAGGAATGACTATCCAGGACTGAGTTATTTAAGTGAATGCTGGTAATTGGAATCACAGAGTCATTAAGGTTGGAGCAGACTACTGTGATCATCTAATCCAACTGTGAACCCATCATCCAACTGTCAACCCATCAGTTGCAGAATTTTGGAAAATAAGGTCTGGATTGGACAAGGTGACTTCCAGAGTTCCCTTCCAACATAAATTATTCCGTGATCATGTGGAAAAATGTTGATATGACAACTATTCTATATTTACTGTCTCAAGGTGATGTGGTTAATGCCATCTATATCAGACTGTGTCTAAAATATTCTTGAACACTTTCACAGATTCTCAGAAACTACTCAGAAATCTGAGATAAGCTTGCTCTTTCACAAGCTTTAGCTAATTTTGGAAGTATCCTAGAATGAGTCCATTAGACTCAGTTAAATTGAAAGTATTCAGACTATAAGTATTCTGTAACCTGTTCTTTACCTATAACAGGCCGATCTTGAACTGTTCTCTCACTTATGCTAAATGTGCTAGCCATCTGCTCACTCACCATCTTCTTATTGAGCTGATACAACAAAGGCATTAAACACTGACTTTTAATTTTTTTTAGCATCGTCTGTTGAGAGAGATCTGTTCCCTTATGCTAAGTAAAACTGGAGTAGTGTAGTTACAGTAAACTATGTATTTGGCTTGTTAATAAACCTTACTGAGACTAATAGAAATGAGCAAGATGATCTTACGCTCCTCAGAGAAATTCAATACAAAGTTTAATAGTATAATGCAAAGAGCATAGAGTATATTACAAAGGTGTTTTCACTTGGGAAGGTGAACAGTGATATATTATCTCAGTCATTTGTCCTGGTGTTTCCCTATTATTTTGCAGGACTTTCAGAGTTGCTTTGATCCTGCTTGTGATAAAGCTTTTATTATTGATTCTTTTACTGAAAACGCCCAATCTTCTTTTTAAAAAAGAAAGACGGGACTTGAGATTTCTTCCTCCTCCACTCTCTTTTTTCTCAACTGCTTTCATTCCGATATCATGCTTAACAGATCCTCAGCTTGCCTCTGGAGGATTTGCTATTTCAATGGCACTGTGTTTATTCATCTGAGTCTGAAAGCAGGCTCACTGCTTCTGGGGGCTGCTCACCTGATTTGAGGATTGGGGTTTTTCGTTTCCGCTTAGCATCTTCATGTTGTTAATTTTGTCTCTTCTTGGTCAGTGCAGTCATCTCAATGATACCTGCCGATCTAAGACTTCAACAGTCTTCTGTGGCAAGAGGTTTTATTTTCTTTTTTTTTTAATTTGCTGTAAATTTATGAATTGCATATCTAATTTTCTTACAAGTTATAGTCTTCCTCTCTTTGAGAAGGACCTTGGGAATCTGCTTTAATGGAGAGTAAACAGTCTGTTCAATCTCAGTTTCAGTGGGAAATTAAGGGGGGTAAGGGGGGAGGGAATACCCAGTACTGTCCATCGGTAGTCATGAAGTTTTCCATAAACCTGAAATATTGCCCTTATTTAGCCAGTATTTGTCAACAGGGTAGTAAGTGAAGGGTATATAAACACGTAGACACATGTAGATGATATAATGCAACAAATCATATTTCCTTATCAAATCAGATTGAAAAGTAGTGTCTAAGTGAAATCTCCGGCCCTGATATATGCTGAATAAGTCGCTGAAATTGCACAAATTAGAGTGGAGCAATTAGTCCAGGCTATTACTGTATCAGTACATTCTGCTATTTGTTCACTCCAGCAGCCAGCTAAGTATCTAACTAGCACTTTTGATGTGGTATTCACCCATTTTGTATGCACAGTTGCAGCATTTTCACAGTTGTGCTGTGCATATAAATGATCCGAAGTATATTCTGCAGCTCTGAATGAATGCTGTTATCTACTTGTCATTCTTATATTAAAAAAAACCAACACGCTCTTAATTAACTGAGAATACAATAATGAATGAGAAGGCAAAACTGTGGTGCAGGTGTTTTCCTGAACTGTCAATTATTCTATTAATATTTCATGATGTTATATTTTCCTATTTGTAAATCTGAACTTACAACTCTCGCACCTTTCCTCCTTTTTCCCTCCCCTATCCTGTCCCGCAGTATTTCACTATGTATGCTTAACTTTTTTTCATTATTTGCAGGTCTGCTATTAAAGCACTGCGTCCTGGTGGATCACTGGTCTACTCTACGTGCACTCTCTCAAAGGAAGAGAACAGCAGTGTAATAAATCTCATTCTGAACTCCTGCTCTAATGTTATTCCTGTAAATATAAGTGAAATTGCCAAAGCTGTTTCCCAAGAATTCACTTTTCACAGTGATACACAACAGCATGAACTTCTGGTTCTGCCAGAGAAAGGGAGAGCATGGGGTCCAATGTATGTAGCTAAATTACAGAAAATGTAGTCCACGTGATGCCTGTTAGTTTATTCACTAATCAATGAAACTGTATTTATTTCTACTATACTGTGTGTTTGAACACACACATGTCCAAGTCAACTGAATTTAGAGCTTTGCTATTTTGTATATGCAACTCCCTAATAACATGTAAATGAAATGTAACCTGGTTACCTAAAAATACAAAATGTGTTCTCTAACATGGGTGTGTGCTCAAAATCAGAGCCTGGCAGTATTTTCCATGTGATGCTCTTAAATGGATTTGTATTCCTGAATAGAGGCCTGTGTGGTTCTTTTTGTACTGTTTTTAAATTACTAATTCTGATGAAATACAGTATATTTTCCAAAAATGGTTTGAATGGTGCCTGCTTCTGAAGTCTTGGAAATCTTGCATTCATTCTTGAAGATATCTTGAAATGTGTTTGTTTCTTTTAAGAGTTGCTTTGTATGCAGAGGTGATCATCTTAATCTCTGACTATTCCTAGCAATGGCAAAGCAGGTTTAATGTTAGTTAGGTTGTTTACTGGTTGAAAACTGTCTTATGTTTAGCTGCTGACCTTTGCAGCTGTATATCAACACCAGCTTTTTTTTAGCTTACAAAAATAATTTATATTTTTGAAAGGTCTTTATAACAGTAGACTCAGATGTGTTTAGCTTTGATACTTAGTTTGTGACATAATGCAGTATATTGAGCTGGCTATAAAGCACATAGAACCAGAATGATTAATAACTGCAGTAGTGGTACCATATTCAGACAGTTTTGTTACATGATTGCAGTCATTATGAGCAAAACAATCTGAAGAGGTGACTTATACCCTAAGTTAAGGATTGTTAAATGAATTTGTGATGGCACAGCTGTGGTGTGTACAGGAGATTCAGTGAGAAGAATATGTATTAATGTTCCCTTAGGTTTCCTCAGTTCTGCTATGCAGTGCTGTAGAGAAATATGGCTATATAGACAGATACGTACATGTTCATGCATATATACACATGTGAACTGTGTTTTCATGTATATTGTCAATGGACTGGGTGTATAAAGCACTGATCTGTCAGTGCTTGGCTTTTGCCTCGGAATGAATCATGTAACAGTATATCTGCTTGGTTGGATGCCTTTGTTAAAATAGAGTGGAGTCTTCCTGTGCCACTCTTAGCAGAGAAATTAAGTCGTTTCCCTGACTGAAGCTTATAGTAAATTTTTAAGGAATGCTGTTGTAAAGAGTGGAGATTTTTTTTTTAGTTGTATGGCACATGTATCAAGTTTGCATGACTGTGTACATATGGATATCATATTTTGTGTATACGTATTTGTGTGCATGCATGTACAATCAATCCCAATCAAAACCAAGACTAACGCAGATGGTTTTCTTTTAATACAGAAGGACATTGGCTCATTAATACTGGAAAAAAATAGTTAAAATGATTATTGATTCACCTCATGAACAAAGATGAGAAGAATGTTGATTATGTGAGGTCTTCTGTCAGAAGTTCCACTGGAAATGCAGTAGTTCTGCTTCAGTTTCTCCAGTAATTCTGTTGTGGCAAGCTGAAAAATGCTCATTTCCATTATGAGTAAACTACCTTTTGTCTCTGGAATGATTTTTATTTTTAAAGCCTTTATTCCTTGCTCACCTTGTTATATTGATGGGCTTTAACTCTTCACAGCAGTCTTGTCATGGATTGCTGAATGTCTATTCCCTCTCTGAGCTTTATGTTTGCTGGGAGCATCCTGGACCTAGTATCTAGAGCAGTGGATGTCAATGTTCAAAACCATGGAAGCTGAACTGTAGAAAAATCTTTATTGTTTAAAAACAGATGCTGATTATAAACAGTAGCTTTGGTTATTTAGGCTCCTGTGACCAAGAAAAATTGAGTTGGGGCGGTTTGCCCTCAAATAGTATCTCACTGCTGTTCCTACTGCTGAAGCAAATAAATGCATGAAGTACTCTTTCCTTTGATACATGAATTTCCGCAGTTATCCTCTCCTTTACTTTGTGATGAAAAATGTTTGAGATGCCCCAGTGGTATTAAATTTTCAGCAGTCTCTCTGAAAGCTTAAGACTATATGAAGCATATGCAACTTGAGGCAGAGAAGTCACTAATGTATGCAGATGATGAGACTGTGTTCCTTTGGAGAAAAAAAAAAAACTAACAGCATCTGCCCCAGAAACATTAAATGTAATATCTGAATTTGGAGTCATCTCAGGCAACTGGATGAAATAACAATACCCTTGTCAAAACGCTTTCCATCAGTTTTATTTGCCCTGTGGAAATTGAAATGGAAAGCCTAGAATGTAACATTCAGGAATGGAATTAAAATATGTGATTAAACTGAATAGTTGAGGAAAAGGTGGGCTAGGTAATCACACGATGAATAAAGGAATGCTTGAAAACTGAACTCTGCTCAGTCTCGATATACGGGTGAGTCCCTGTGAAGTGCATTGCATTAGACCTAAATTATGCGGCAAGGCCTCCTGATTTATATAAAAGCTGCACTGAGTTCTGCAGCACCCGTTGCTGTTCTTCTGGAGTTTCTTTTCAGCTAGCCTAAAAAGGCAGCAAAACAACAGGAGGAAAAGAGGCTCACTGTGAAGTGATACTTATTTTGCTTGGTAACAGATGAGTGCTTGTTCAGAGTACTGTGGAGAATTTTTTATGTTCTAATTAGTTCTGGCTGCTGAGAAGGATTTGGTAAGCACGTGTGGTGGGAGAGGGAGGAAAAGGAGGAGAAAACAAAGGAAGAGAGACGTTCCTATGGAAGTAAGTGTACACCATGAAGTAGCTTCCAAGCAAGGGTACTTAGCTTGTGTGCCTGTTCAGTTATTTCTTGGTTATTTCCAATGTCTTTAAAAGTATTTTTGGTTAGAGTGGGTCCAGAGGAGGGCCACTAAGATGATCAGAGGGCTGGAGCACCTCTCCTTTGAGGAAAGGTTGAGGGAACTGGGCTTGTTTAGCTTGGAGAAGAGAAGGCTTAGGGGAGATCTCACTGTGGCTTTCCAATACTTGAAGGGAGCATATAAACAGGAGGAGGGATGACTGTTTATGAAGGTGGATAGTGATAGGACAAGGGGGAATGGTTTTAAACTGAGACAGGGGAGGTTTAGGTTAGATATTAGGAGGAAGTTTTTCCCACAGAGGGTGCTGACACTGGAACAGGTTGCCCAAGGAGGCTGTGGATGCCCCATCCCTGGAGGCATTCAAGGCCAGGCTGGATGTGGCTCTGGGCAGCCTGGTCTGCTGGTTGGTGACCCTGCACATAGCAGGGGGGTTGGAACTAGATGAGCTTTAAGGTCCTTTTCAACCCAGGCCATTCTATGATTCTTTAGAATTTCCTCTGCTGACCATCAGGGTAAAGCAGCAATACTTTTCTGTTTTTTATATCCATTTCCCTGAGGTGTACTATATCTTGCCTCCTCTTTAACAAGCAATGTTGTTGGAATGAGGTGGCAAATAAGTTGGCCTCTCCATCTTAATGGAAGTGGCAGCCCCAGGAACAGGCAGGTGAGCAAACTGAGGGCAAGAAAGTGGCCACTTCTGTTGTGTGTTTGAGTAGCCAGAGAAATCTGCATTATCTTCATGTCAGACAATTAAGATTGTGCTTCTTTAATGACTCATCTCATTGCAAATGTATCTCATGTAGCAAATATTGGTGCAGAAGATTTCAGAGAAGTAGAGATAACTGAAACTCAACTAATTGTGCTTTTCCGCCATTCCTCTTTCAAACATAGAGAAAATATTTTCTCTGTCTAGATGTTTGGACTTTTTTTAGTGTCTGTGTGTGTGTGTGTGTGTGTGTGTATATTTATACATATATACATGGTGCAGTAAGATGATCTTACAGAGGAAGCTTCAGTATTTGCCAGATCTTATCCTTTATCAATGACACCTAACACAGTTCAATTACAGCTTGTCAAAAGCATTCTCCACTGTGGAGAAGAGTGGAAAAACAAATTACACACGAATGACACTGGACTGTTACAGTCAACTCAGGGACTAACAACCTCTTGACTTCCTCACTAAGATGTGTGAAAAGCAATGGAAGCATAATGTGAAATATGGGAGGAAACATACCATGGCTTTCTGCAGTTCTGAACTGAATGAAACAGTGGTGATGCTGAATCCTGTGCAGCTAACCTGTGAGTGATGGGGAAAGGAGATTCCTGGGATGAGAGGGGGTAAAAAAAATTACTTGGGGCCACAGTTGTGTGCTGGGGTTGGAGAGGACCTGCCTAGCTCATTTGGCTATCTCAGTACTATCACAGTAGGAACGCTTATTTTGAAGATGTTGCCAGGAAAGCGATGGGGTTTTGCTTTAAATTAATCAAGAATTTAAATCAGCTGTGAGCACTTGAATAGAACCTGACTACCTGTTTTTAGCAGAATGGATGGTTGTGTTGGTGTTGTGTTCTTGTTGGTTAAATTGCTTCGGCGTGCTGGGAAACTTATGCAATGTTGTCTATAAATGAGACTCTTTTTTTCTATTTCTAGAGGAAACTTGAGCAGTGCATATTGGTAGTCAGCTTCCAGATAAAACTCAGCTAAAGATGAAACTTAAGTTTTCAATTACTATTTTTGTCAAACTTGGATCAGAGAGCCTGGAGTGTATGCAGTTGCTGATCTCAGGCTTTAGATAGCTGTGCTGTGCCCCCACCATGTGATTTTTGACTAAAGGTAGGATTTTATAAGACAGATCACAGCAACACATTTGTCTGAAAATGCTTTTCCTGTCTGATCTTCCTTGGTGCCCTTGGGATTCAAGGTCAGGGTCTAAAAGCTTCGGGAGGGGTTGAATTTTATTTGAGAGAGTATGTGGTCTTCTGCAGAGAGAAGCATCATAGAGCTCTCCTGCTTTCATTTAAAAAAGGCAGGTAGTATGGAAATAAAACACTGTTCAAAAAGTGACAACTGCTGTTGAAAGGAAGGGGTGGAACATAAATATGTTTTTTATGATGGTCTGTATTTTTCACTGTAGAATTTCTACTCCATGCAGCTGTGTTTAGGTTGGTCACTTACGTACGCATTTCCTCACTGTTTCACTTAGCGGTAGTCCTGTGGAGCTGGTCACTTGTCAGTGTGTTGTGGTGGTGTAACCTCTCACAGTCACAGAGGAAAAAGAAACAGATTGTGATCCCCTAAATCTACAGGCAGTAACTGTAAGTTATATATATATTGTGTTTATATACATATATATGATATAATATATATAATATATACACGTGTGTGTATAAAGATATATATATATTAAGGGATTCTCCAAAAGTTGTTGCAGAACTAAGTCTTTTGTCAAGGTTGTTAAAACTCTAGGAGGCAGCACAGCTACCCAAATATGAAAGGTACCAGCACTTCATCTGAT